CCTGCTTGACATATCGAATAAATATCGGATCTGGTCACACACAAACGACCATCAACTCCGGAAACACATGCACATTTCTGTAGCAAATTGAGCAGCACAGGCTGGATTGCCAATGAAGGCAGCGACATGGCTGGCTATATTCCTGCACGATATGGTGGCAATACTGATACGAATAAACCCAGCCAGCCAGATGTAGTCTAGAGTCTAAGAGTCTAACCGTTCTGCATCCGAGTTCAGAAACTTCGACTCAAGATGTGATCTGATGACATCACCTTGCACACAGTCACACAGAATCGTCAATTCGTCAATATATTTATATATATATGTATATTATGTATATGAATACACACACGACCGCGATGCCGCACTGAGTCGAGAAGAGCTGAGCGTAACCGTGACCGTAACCGCTACGTGTACTTTTACATGGCACATGAATCATGAACTACATGACTCCATGACAGCTAGCTGCTAGAGCAAAATGCTGCATACATGGGTGCATGACATGCATCAGTGCATAGTGCATGAATGACCAAACTGCCGAAGCAATATGCTGAACATGTTGCATGAAACATTGCATGAACTTCATGACCACGATCCTATGAACCATGCCATGAGCACATGAGCACATGCAGTCACATGAAATGACTCGCATGAACCGCCGACACTTATCAGAAGAGAACACCAGCGAAAACGTCGGACCACGACTACGACCAGCAAACAACAACGATTAACAACAACAACAACAACAACAACAACCACAACAACAACAACATCAACAACAACCACAACAACAGCAACAACAGCAACAGCCACAACAACGACAACACCACCAACAACTAACAACAGCAACAACAACAACAACAACAACCATAACGACGCCATCAACAACAACAACAACACCAACAGCTCAAATGTTTCGACAGATTCACCAGAGTTAACACAAGCAGCTTAAAAATTAATAAGCAACCACAACAGCAGCCGCCGACGGCCGACAGCCTCAAACTCACTGACCCACTGAGCCACTGAGTCGCCAATCAATGCACCAGCCAGCTAAGCACAACAACAACAACAACGACAACTTTGCCCAACACCAACAAATGCAAACGACAAACTGACAGACAATGAGACAAACAGACAAACAGCCGGCCAACCACGGGACAAGCCACTACTCAAGCAATTGCAGCAGCAGCAACAAGAACAAGAAATACGACTCGCGACGGCATACGACGACGAACACTGACTCAAAACAACGCGCATACAAGAACGACTAACGACTAACTACTAACTACCCGTAACTCGTACAATTGACTCTTCGAACGACTAACCGAACCACACCGATCCAATAATAACGACCACAGTTCAATCGACAGTAGAATTTGAAAGAACGCAAAAAACAGCAACACAACAACAACAGCAACAACAACAGCAACAACAGCCGCAGCAGCAACAGCAGCAACAATTGCAACAGACAAACAAGGACCAACCAATGAACCAACCAACCAAGAACTAAGGATTCTAAGGATTACAAGGATCAACTGGATCAACCAATCAACCAAGCAATCAACCCACCAGGGACCCACCAGGCAAGCAAAACAAGCCAACAAATAACAAACACAAACAACCAAGCAAACAAACAAACAAATCAAGTTACAAAACATTAATAGAATAGGTATGTGATGATAACAGTTCAATCATCCTCACCATAACACATAGCAACAACAGTAGCAACCACAACGACAACCACAACACCATCAGTGACATCAATCACCAAGGCAACAGCAACAACAACCACTCAGCACAACCGCGGACTGCAGCAACAACACGGACCAACAACAACAATACGACACCAACAACAAACACAACCATGAGATAGCATAAGACAATAAACAAACCAAAACATCACACGAGGTGGCAGCAATGTAAATAGTAACAAACATGACAGGGCATCACATGGCGTGAGCATGGAGCATGAGCATGAGGCTAACATGAGGAGTGGTTGTTGATGTGATTTGTTGATTCTAATTGTTGTTGTGATTGAAATTGTGTGTGCGTGTGTGTGTGTGTGTGTTGCACTGGTTGGTGTTGTTGTGATTGTACTGTGAGTGCCAGATATGTTCAGTTGTTGTTGCTGATGCTGCTATGCTGGTGACACTGTTGGTTTGTGATGCTATGTGCCGTGTTTTGGTGTTTCAGTTTGCTCTTGGTGATGTTGTTGTTGCTGCGCTGCTGTCGTTGGTATCGTTCGTGCTATTGTAGATGAGATGAGTTGATTCGACGACGACGATGATTGTGATGGTGACGGTGATGAGATATCGTTGGTGTTGCTGTTGACATTACTACTATTGTTGAGGTTTATGTTGATGTTGCTGGTGTTGTTGGTCGGTGGGTGGATTTTTTGGTTGTGGTGATGTTGGTGTTGTTGTTGTTGGTGGTGGTGACGTGTTGTTGTGCGCTGCTCATGAGCACATGCACTCGTGGTCATGTTGAGCATGTTGCATATGCCGAACATGAACATGTCGCACATGCTGAAAAGGAGCAACATGCGGAACATGAGCACATGCGCTCTCATGCATAAACATGTTGCACATGCGAAACATGAGCACATGCACTCCCGAGCCCTCCCCCCAGCCCATCCCCAAACATGTTGCACATGCGAAACATGAGCACATGCACTCCCGAGCAACATGTTGCACATGCGAAACATGAGCACATGCACTCCCGAGCCCTCCCCCCAGCCCATCCCCAAACATGTTGCACATGCGAAACATGAGCACATGCACTCCCGAGCCCTCCCCCCAGCCCATCCCCAAACATGTTGCACATGCGGAACATGAGCACATGCACTCCCGAGCCCTTCCCCCAGCCCATCCCCAAACCCGCGGCGACCCGAGGGGGGGATGCACTCCCGAGCCCTCCCTGCTTCCCCAACCCATCCCCAAACCCGCGGGGACCTGGGGGGGGTAGGGGTCCCCACCAACCCCGGCTTCAACCAACAGCGCAAACTGGAACCTACAAAGCGAGAGAGAGGTTCAAAGGTCTACAAACGGCTCTACGAGGGTTATAATAAAGGCTTTATAAGGTTATCTAAAATTGACTGCTACATAAGCATTGCAACACTGGATTTATGGGGTGTTAGAAATGGCTTTAATTTATGCTGGTTACACGAATTAATGGTCTCAGAGTAGACACCACTTAGTCATATTCCGAGGTTTGCTGGGGCCATAAAGGCGTACACTAGCTAGCGTATCCTCCCGCCACCTCCCTCTACACCTCCGGGGAGTACGTAGCAAGCCTAGCCTTAGCTAACTGGCTTCACGCAGTAGCACGGACAACACGAACTTCTCTCTTTTTATCGTTGTGGCGAAGTCCCGCGTTAGCCCGGAGAAGAACTCTAGCCTTCGGCTAGCTAATCTCCAGGGTGGGCTGGGTGGGCACTCGAAAATTGCCCCCCAGTAGCTGGGGGCCTTTCAGCACAATGGCCACGGAGTAGCACTGCTTCACCGGCCATGTGCAGTCACTCTAGCAAACAGACAGGCTTCGTTCTGTTTAGCTTCAGAGGAAAACCCCTTCGACGTTTTCTAGCGAAACACCTTCGATGTTTCCCACAGGGATACTAGCGCTAGCATACACTGTCGTACCTCGTGCCTCGGCACGAGTGCGTACACTAGCTAGCGTATCCTCCCGCCACCTCCCTCTACACCTCCGGGGAGTACGTAGCAAGCCTAGCCTAGCTAACTGGCTTCACGCAGTAGCACGGACAACACGAACTTCTCTCTTTTTATCGTTGTGGCGAAGTCCCGCGTTAGCCCGGAGAAGAACTCTAGCCTTCGGCTAGCTAATCTCCTTGCGCAGCCGTAGGGCTACCAGGGACCTAGCTTACGGGCCTTCTTATCATGTAATCCTAGCCTAACCCCCTCCTAACTACCCCCCCCCTGGACAGTGTGCCTGCCTTATGCAACCCAAAATAACACCTAAATAAGCTCGTTTAGGGTTTATTTGGTGGGTCGTCCGCTTTCAGGGTCATGGGAGGTCGCCGCACTTTCACTGGGCATTCAGTTTAATGGTCCTTGACCCCAAAGTCAAAGCGCTCATTTCGTCTCGAGCGGTTCCGAGCACACTCAGCGCCGTCTTGGCACAGGCAAGGTCTCGATTCGATGTAGGTCTTTAAGACGTCACCGATTCTGAACACACTCAGCGCCGCAAGGTCTTGCTTTGATGTAGGTCTTTAAGACGTCATCGGTTCTGAGCACACTCAGCGCCGGCTTGGTGCAGGCAAGGTCTCGATGTAGGTCTTTAAGATGTCGTCGGATGGCCTGGGACAGAGACAGACAGACAGACAGACAGACAGAGGACGGGCGGACGGACAGAAGAAAGCGAGAGAGAGAGAGAGAGAGAGAGAGAGAGAGAGCGAGAGAGCTCAATAGGTTGTCCCTATTTTGTCTTAGTTTGGCTTATGTTGTCTTATTTTGTCTTAATTTGTCTTACCGAATTGCAGTCGCTGAAGGAAGTTGCGCTTCACGAAAGAGAGAGAGCGCGAGAGACAGAGAGAGAGCGAGAGAGAGAGAGAGAGAGAGAGAGCGACAGAGAGAGAGAGAGAGAGAGAAACAGAAAGAGCGAGAAGGGAGAGGGAGGGAGAAAAAGAGAGAAAAGAGAGAGAGAGAGAGAGAGAGTGAGAGAGAGAGAGAGAGCGCACATGCACATGACATGAACTTGTCATGTCTTGGCCAAGCCGCATCTCGAATTTGTTGTGCGGGTTGCGCGCATTCCATCTGCGGTATGTGAAGCTCAACACTTCGCGAAGTGCCGAAAGCTGATCTGGACAACGTTTCGTACCCCAGCTTCTCTGGCAACTGTCTTTCTCGATCGGGTCACCTCGCAGCCACGGGATTGGGGGTGCGGAAATTGCGGGGACAAGCAAAACGCCAATAAATCCAAATCCTACCGACGTCGGAACGCAGACTTCCTGAACCCACACAATATACTCTTGGACTGGAAGGATTCTAAAACTTGAAATCGTAATCAGTCAAAGAGCCGATGGGGTATTCAACCTTCCAAAACTTCTGCAAGGGCTGGAATCGCATCCAGAAGGTAGAAGTAATGGCACCGCCCCCCGGCAGGAGCTTCTTGAGATCGGGCGGCGTCAACTCCCACTGCCTCTTGCGTTCAGCAGCTTGTTGCTGTTCCTGCTTCTCCTCACGCTTCTTGGCAGCCTCTGCTACCTTCCGTTCTGCTTCTGCACGCGCCTCTGCATCCTTCATGCTCTTGACCGCACGCTTCTCACCAGTTTTGGACACCTCTTCCTCAAACTGCTGCATAGCCTGCTTCTTCAGCTCTTTAAAGGAATCGGCATTGTCAACGTCCATCTCGCTGATCATCGCCAAGACGCCCATATCCAGGCGAGCTGCTTGCTTGCCCATGAGAGCGGCCACACGCTCCTCCACTTCGTCCGGACTGTCCGGAAGAAGATAGCGCACAAGCGCTCGTACGAAGTCGATCTTGATTCGGTTTCCTCGTTTGCCCGACCCCTTTTTGGGGTCTGGCAAAGGCACTCGCAGGGACGTGCATATCTGGACCAGTTGATCTTTCGTCAACTTCATGCTCTGCTGGCGAAGAACCGCTGCACGCAGGATCCCCTCCTTTGACTTCACATGTATGCAGGACCCCAACTGATGCAAGGAGTCCGGGACACAAGCTGGTGGGAGAACCTCATGCACGACAAACATCCATGCAGAACTTTCGGCGGACACTGTAAAATTGAACAGCATCTCCACTCCCTGATGGTTGGGGTCAACGGACAAGAACTCCTGATGCATGCACGAGGCAAGTGGCGTGGCTTTCTCAAAAGCCCCTGGTTGCCTGTGTTTGATTGGCACCTAAAGCACAAGATTGGGAATACTTTACAGATCAGATCACCTCACACCACGCCGGCCTTTTCTGCACCATGGGACTCTGGGACCATATTAAAGGGAAGAGGGTCATGGTTTGCAGGGTCCTGCTGGCCCACTTTGTGCCGCCGCAGCTTCATGCCAAGCGCGCACCATCCAACGAATCCGAGCGAGATCATGAAAATGTCCTTGGAGCGCTCCCAGAAGATGGCCCCTTTGAACAGCAATGCACCTGCATCGCTGAGTCCATGATTCATAAACACTGCTGCGGAGTTTGGGCTGCTGCTACAAAAGCGCGGGCACTGGTTTCTATTTAAACTGAGCGCTAAACAAACACCAAACCCAAACCTCGCCGGAATTGATGGAGCGCGAGTGCCAAAAAAGCTGAGGCCAGGGCTTGCCCAAGCCATGGTGATATTCCGAAACCCAGAATCAGACTCTTTGAGGAGGTAGCAAGCGGCAGCCGCGCTCCTGTAGTGAGATAGAGGCCCCGCCAGCCTCCACTTTGTCTTCACTACACCCTCCGCTGTCTTGGGAAACTCCATGTCCTGCGCTTGGGGAAGGGCGGTCGCGGCAACATTGAATGCTGTGTTGAATTTTTGCATCCACTCGTCTTTCGCGCTCCCGAACTTTTCAAGCCATCTGAGCCAATCCGAACGGTCTGGCAAGCGCTGCTTCATTCCTGATGATTTGATGAAACCAGAGCTGGTGCAATACAGCCACAGCCCCATTCTGCTGGTGCATTTGTTCTTGTTGGACCGACTAACCACATCTGCCAAATGTCCGAAACAGCTCTCCAAAATCTCCTTGGTGGAGCTGCTGCCCCCGAAAAAGCTTCGCATGAGTCGAACCACGGTCTGGGCTTCAGGATCGTCAAGCTTGTACTTCGCTCTTCGCAACCGGATCATGACCTCGCGCGCGAGGCTCTCTTCTTGAAAGGCCAGGTCTTGCAACAACTGCCCCAATGCAGGCTTGGTCCGTAACATGTCTTCCGCTTTGACCACGGCATCAATGATAGCACCAATCCTGTGAAGTGCTCGTTGGGCTTTCTCTCGATCTGCCAGCAACAGAGAGCCAGCAGCCAGCGGCAACGTAAATTGGTGAAGCATTTCCGACCATGCAAAGTTGCCTGCCAAGTTGGTTGCAAAACTGAAAGCTTTTTGCGCTAGCTCCATTTCCTCGGGCAGCATGTCGGGCGTGGCACACGGGTTGCAGTGGGGCGTCATCTTCATGGCCATGTACAATGCTGGGTTCGAAGTGGTTGTCAGGATCTGGTTGCAGGCTTCCAAACTGCTTCCAACACAGCGCTCTGCATTCCATTGCAAAGTTTTCTCCAGCCCCTCTTTCTGCGCTTGCAGATCACTTTGGTAGAGCTTGTGCAATGGCCTGGTAACACGGCACAAGATCTCTGCACTGCAGCGCAGACGGTCATCGGATAGTATATCCAGCAGCATCTGGTGCGGACCCTTACTCTTGTAGGCAGCATAATAATCCGACTTGCTCTGCTTCTCTGGCGCACCTTCCGCTGCTTCCTCTGCCTCTGCTGCTTCGTCTACGTCCTCGGCCTCGTCCACTGCAGCGCCTGCTTGCAGCTCCTCCTCGTCTGCCTTACCATAAACCCGTGGACGAAACAAACAATTATGGCAATTATGGGTTCCGGGTTGCTTCGGTGTCCGATTTCAAAATCTGCCGCTGCCCGAACCCCAAACTGTGCCACGCTTCGCAACACCCCTGTGAGTTCATGTGATGAATCCCACCCACAAGCCCTGCCATTCCATTCCTGGGGCAGAAGATAACTCAGACTTCATTCAAGCCAACCAAACCGCTAAACCCGTACTCGGCTCTGGTGCTCTCAGGGCAAGGCGCCATACCGGCGGACTCAACCACCACAGCCCGAGCTGCTTCACGCAACACCGTCCAGTCACGTAAGAGCATCTTGAAGCAGGTGAGGCAGCCGAACCAGCTTTTGTTCTTTGCCTTGGATCAAACAACGAGAAGCGATCAAACTGCTTAAGCAACAGACCGTCATGACTTTCTCAAGCGCAGAAGGATTTCAGGCAATCCCCTGATTTTGCCAGCGGGTCGCGTAATGCGCACGCCGCTTTATCAGGGGGGCTTCCAAAAACTCTGCGATCGACGTTTGCACAGCATCGCTGGTCATGCCTCGCTCTCCACGGTCGTGGTTGATTTCTTCAGAAATCTCTTCGAAGTACTGCTCATCTTGTTTCCCTAACCACGTCTCCAGGTACTCCTGTCGCATCGTCACACGCTCGCCTGTGATCTTAGACCCATGTCCATAGTTGGCCGCTATGGTGAGGCGCATCAAGTCAAAATTCAT